GAACCCTGGCTAGGATGATATTTTTCGCAATAAATTATTTATAATGATTTAATATAAGAAAGCTTACTAACATTAAAATTCAATTATCAATTTAAGTATGTGGATTTACCGGTCCAACAAAGAGCTAGTGTTTTAAAGACCGAAAAACCGGCGCACAGTTTATTTAAAGTTTGAAAAAGGTATAAAAAATTCACACAATACTATTATTAAGCTATCAAAACCCAGTCCGGATCGTAAAGAGCATTTTTTTCTCTAGTTGATTAAAATTCTCAATTATGTAATAAGATATTTCTGGTGCAAAACATAAAAGTCAGAATTAATGAAATATATGATATATATGAAATATATGATATGTATGAAATATACAGGAGATATATCCAGAGATATATTTAATTATCTTATCGTTAGTTATTTATGGTGTAACATTTCAGATATTTTTTCCTCTATTTTTGCAATTATATAAAACATCATATAAAGTGGCCTAACTTTATACGAAGCATTTTCATTGTGTTTAAATACGATATTAGCTTTCATACGAGAACCATATTAGCTTTTATAATGGCAAAGATATAATTTATTATAACATGAAAGGAGAATTAAATGTGAATTGTGTTTAATTAAAATATATTATTTTAATGAATCATTCGCCAATGCACACGAAAAATAGAATATTCTGCTAATGTTGCCGCATAATTGGAACTTCAATGCAAAAGATTAAAATTAATTACATGATCAAAATCCTCGTGATTGCATCATCGAAACGGAATCAAGCTAGAAAAATAACGCCGCCCGAGGGAAAGAAGCAGCGGAAGCAGAGTACAAAAAAATTTTCCAATACTCATATCATGTTGATACGTTTTACCATTATTTAATAATCCATATGATCTGAAAAATGCATGATATTACAAATACAAGATACAATACATGGCCGATTAAATTCATAATATAAAGGGCTGCATTCCCGTGCTGCGATATACGTTGCGTATGACAATTAACGATAAAACATAACAAAAGTTATTTCGCGCCCCGATATTTTTCTCAAATGAATAGCCAATCTCCCTCGTGCGAAAACATTTCTTCATAGCATTCCTCCGATTCGATTCTCGCATCGTGCGTACAAGTGTGCGAACGCAAAGAGTCATGCAAGCTCACTTACCTGAGAGAATCCGTTGCAGCTCGACGTGAATGGGCATCTCGAGGCCGAGTCGTCTCCATTCCGGCGGCCTTCCGGAGATCGCTCGACGGTCGTCCGCAGTTGTCCTTTCGCACAATTCTCAGCCAGAAAGCACTCACCCGCGTTCCCGCTCCCGTAAACACGTCAAAATGCACGGCGCGGCGGCGCCTCGGCGGCATCGAGTCGTTCGTTTCCGGCTCGTCCCGAATAACGCAACTGCCTGCTGAAAATTAGAAACAATTAATCATCATTATAATAATGAGATATTTTGTCGCTCTCTCAAAGAGAAGTCCAGAGGGAAGGCAAGAAATATTTCTTTCAAGTTCGAGATAAAGTACGAATACGTCGCTTTTAATGTAGGAGATACATACCCGCCCGCTTGGCGAAGGGACGCGACCGCGACGTAAATCAGCACTCACGAGCCGGATCGCGATGATATCCCGGCGCGGTGACATTTCCGCTCGACGTCTCCAGCTCGACGAGTTAAACACGAGAAACGCGAGCGTGCATTACGCGCATGATTTTAATCACGAAACTTCTTGCGCGTCTAGCCCAGTGAGCCAGAGAGTGTACAGCCCGTCGCAACCGTCGGAACTCTAATGACGTCTTGAGTGGCTATTGGCTACTTTCGGTTTGCTGCGAACCTGATTCAAATTTGGACGCGCGGCTAAGTTCGGCGTGGTTCAGTGCTGCCAACGTGTCGGCATTAATAATACATCGATAAAGATCAATAAAGATTGAAGTAATGGAACTGTCCCAGCGAGAAATGACCCGTCGAATCGACGGGTCCGTTTATCACGTTTAATGAAACATTTATTCGTAATTCGATGCGTTTAAATATATATATTATCAAATATATTTCTGATCATACGCTTCATAATTAATTTTTGGGCTTTAATTTGCGCGCCCGCGCGCGCGAATAACAGATTCGACGCAATTTACACTTCGAGTAAAATATACAATTTTATCATTCTCGGATACTAAATATATATACGTGCTCTTTATTATGTAATGTATCTTTTGATTGAATTGTCAGATCGGAGGTAAAAATACATCCTTATTATTACCTGCTCGAGGAGCCGGATTTCTTGCGAGCGGATATATAAACCGCGATACTCATGAGCCAAAATTTGTCGCGCGTCTCTAATTTAACGAATGGGACATGACACGCATGACATACGTAACGGCAAATACACACGCACACATATACATTTCTGCCCGATTTTAATCACGAAACTTCTCGCGTGTCCCTTCGTCCCTTCCTTCGCGATCGGCCGAACATCGCAATATGGCGGCTCTGACGTCATCGTCATACGATTACTTTCCAGCGGTTCAAATTTCGACGCTCGGCACTGGCTTCGAGCGTGTCAGTGCCGCCAATGTATCAGTGCCGGCATAAGTACATCGATAAAGATTGTAGTAATGAAAGCGCTCCTTTAATCGGTTTTTACATGAAATACACCCTTAACGAGAAAATTCCTTGACACGTTTAAATATATGTTGTTTGATATATTTCTGGCCACGTAAATATATTTTAGGATTAATTGTTAAACTTTCAGTTGGTCGTAACAAATTAGACGCAAATAGGTTTCGAGCGAAATACGATTTCGATTGCTCTTGAATAATGAGTACGCTGTTCTTAATGTATATTTCGTTCGTATTAGACACTGGAGTGTGTGCGTACATATATATCAATAGGAAAAATATTATGCACGCACGCTTACCTGCTCGAGAAACTGAATTCTTGGCGAATCCACATGAATCCGTTATACTCATTACCCATAACTCGATATCTTGACGTGGATTCTATCGCTGCTCGTTTCTGATTTAACGATAAATACAACGCGTAACGAGAAATACGTATGCATTTCTGCCCGATTTTAATGACGAAACTACTCGCGCGTCCCTTCCTTCGCGATCGGCCGAACTTCAATGGCCGAATGGTGGCGTTGATGCTCGACAGTACGCGATTACTTTTTATTCAGATTTCGACGCTCAGCTAACTTCAGTGCCGTCTTTATATCGATACAAAAATGTATGTAATTAAAAATTATATTACTAATGAATATAATCTATTGCTACGATCATGAATGCACCATGATGTCTATTTAATGGAAAATTCATCCAACATGTATAAAGATATTACTAAATTTGACATATTTGGCCACTCATTTCAGAATTAATCTCTGAATTCGTATTCGAAATACGAATGCATTTCAAATGAAATATGATTTTAATTAATGTAAATAAATTTCGAGCGCATTAGATATTTACACGTACATATATGTAGAAATTAATACATACAGTATATTAATAAACGTGTATATTAAATAAAGGTAGAAAGTATATGCAACTTTTATTTGCTCGCGAGGAACTTATAATCTTCCGCGTAAGGCGTATAAATCAATAATCTGGAGTCACAGATTGTAATCTTACAGTCCCCGTTTTTCTTTCCTTTTTTATTAATTATAGCGAGGAAGACGAAGTTAATGCATTTTCGACGATTTTGCCGAATACGCGACCGAAAAATTTCGCGCTTCGCACTCTTCGCGGGCAACCGCGTCGCTCGGTTGCCTTCGGTGTCCTTCGGCGAATGAGAGGAACACCTCGCCCGCGCGATTCAAACACGTTAGCCTGCACTGTATCTCGTCGACAATTCGTAAGTCGTCCTTTCAAGTAGCTGTGAAGAAGACAGCTAAAAATCGTCTATGCTTAATTAGCATTTCGTTATTGCAGGATTTGAGCGAGAAGTACGCGCATCTCTTGATTAGTCTCAATTGCGTCTTTAAATTTTATACCCTTTATTCTACGAGTGATAAAATTAATCTGTAAGAAGGAGATAAGTGAAAGGATTTATTTCAATTTTATGTACATTTATTCTTGGAATTGTTATTTCTCAACGTATCAACACACACATACACATACACATCCACACATCGTCACACACCGTTACACATATAAGATATATGAGATGCGATTTTAAAATTTTACAAGTATGTTTTATGGTAATACTGTTAAATATATTAAAGAATGAGATTTAAACTATTACCTTGTCCATTTTGTTATCTTTAACTACCGTATGTGTTGAAATTTATTATTTTAACAGTATTATTTTAAATCCATTGGTTTAGTTAAATTAACATTGTTTTAGTTGAATTAACATTGTTAAATTAACGGCATATTAAGTATAGGATCATTGACGATCTATAAAAATGGTTAAAAATGACTGAAATTGAGTATAATAATTTGACGCTACGAATTTAGCAGCATACGCAAAATTATATTAATTATTCTAGTCCGCAGATTATGTAAAGAACACGCATGTCTCAAATCAGGAGATATGACGTCTTTAAGATTTCTTCCGATTTGAGGCATTATGTTTACCGGAAGGTTTTGTTGAATAAACAATAGTAAATTAATAGAAAATTTTTACGAAATAAAATCCAAAATGGGCTCAAGTCAATTGCGCTTACATTTTTATACAAACCGTACAAAATATTATCAACCTTTGTTTAATTATAGCTCATAAAAGAGAATTAATTAATGAAAACTGAAATGTAACATTGGAGTGTAAAATACATCCCACGCGAGTAATTACATTTTAAAAAATTCACACGAGTAATGTGTAGAGTTAATATACATGGTACGGCTGAACTTGCAAGTTCTCTGTTTCTACAAATATCGATCACGTACGTTATACACAGACGAACGTTATGAAAGTTTAAAGCCGTACGTGGACTTTATTGGCACGAGTTCCCCTGCCGCGCGTCGGCAGGTGTTACGATTGAACTTCCCGCTGAAGGACTCGCGTGAAATGCATCATGGCGCGTCGGCGCCGCGTCGTCCGATGCCATGGACACCGTTGCGGACAGGATTAACGCCGGGCGAAAATAATTCTTCTCCCCGCTTGATATCCCTGCGAACTTCGACCTGTTTTCCTGAGGCGGTAAATCTCCGGGGGAGAATTGGCCGGACGGGATCACCCCGATAGATGTACTCGTCCGAGGGGTAGCCGAGGAAGCCGCCGTTACGTTCCACGTCGGCGTACGAAATTCTCTGCAACGAGGAAATGTCGCAGGACGACGACGTTGGATTCCTGTACAAAACGATGCGTAAGTTGTGCTCTGATATCCGTATGCGAATAATTCCCGCGCTTGTGTCCCGTAGATGCGGTATAAAATACATGTCGTACGCTGGTTCGCAGAGGACAGTGTCTAGACCGCGAGACACACATCGGAGTCGATGGAGCGCAAAATAACTTCCTGCGTGTTTTCTTCCCATTCTCGGTTCCGAAGAAACCGGAGGAAGCGAAAATTGCTTTGTTTTTTTTAATGGTCGATCTGCCAAGTAGAAAGCCACATAATCTGGGATAAATTTAGAAAGTAACTTGCAGAAAATTTGCACGTTTGCGTTAAGTAAATACATAAATTGCAGTGATTGAACCATCTCAGTGTACGTAATGTCCCAATAAATCATGACATTATGACGTCTTAAAAACGTCATGAAGATATCTCGAAGACGTCGTATTATAAGACTTTTAAAGACGTCTTAATGACGTCTTTGAGACATCATGTCCAGATTTGGGACATGCGTGTTATCTGGGATGAGTTCAGTGCTCGTACAATTTCTCTTATGAGCTAATATAAGTGAAATTCAATTATTTGCGAATAATGTGAATTAACCGAGCATCTCTTTATTTGTCATATTAAGCAATTTCATATTTTTGCCATATTTAAAAGTTGTATATCTATTTCTTCTTTCTTCTATATTTTTTCCCATGTCATTCAATGGATATTACAACTTCTGTATACGTGAAATTATGCTCAAGTTATTAAGCAAACATAAACAATATTAGTTGTATTATTTGATTAATGCTAAATGCACTGCAGCAAATTACATGTTCTACAAGTATATTAATGTCCATTATATTTCTGTGATGTGTGTATACATGTGTGATATGTGTACATGTGTGTAATACATGTGCGCGAGCGTGTATGTTAGTTTCTATCATTACCGTTATTATCGCAATTGATACATTATTAATTCTATTTCAGCATTATGATAATAAACAACCCGGTTTGTCCTTTGTGAATGCATGATAATGACCATAATCAACTACTTTATTATTATGGCAACCTCATTTGCTGACACGTATAAAATTAACCTAGCGCGTTATCGGTGATATGCGCGCGCGTACGCGTATGTGTCCTTTGTAAGTGGCGTGCTTGACGGGAGAGCTTTCAAAAAATGTAGTGGACGTTAATACGGTGGAATATTCGACGAGAATTGTACGAAAAACGTGCTGATAGGTTGCGCGAAGAACTACTCCGATTTTGATAAAAGTTTCCCCCCACATTTTAAGCCACTATGACCAGCACATGTACGTACGGGAATATTAGGGAAACATAACCTAAAACTTGCTCGTATTATATTTATTTTTTCATAGAAATATATCAAATCAATGCAGCTTTCAGTGTAATACTAGTTATAACACATTTCTACGTATCGGATTGCGATAAAATATATTTAAATGTTATACTCGGGAAAAATCAATCAAATTGCTCTTTTCAGTTGAAAGAGATCCCAAAAAGAGAAGGGTGAAGCCGGTGGAATCAGCGCACCAGTCCCTGCTCGACTTTGATCTTGGTGAGAGCTCGGATGATAGTGATTTTAGGATTGAAGACCATTGTGAAGAGTCGGACGACGATTCTGTAGATTCTAACGATGCGAAAGGTAAGCTAGTGCTATTGATGGCATTGATGCTACGACTATGAAGTATATTTTTATGCGGCATAGAACTATTAGAAGTAATGTAAAAAAGCGTTAAAAAGTGTCTACTCTTATTGCGTTGAAGTTGCGACTTACATGGATCATTAAAGATCTATGAAATATTTTTTAATTATGTTATCCAAACTCTTAAAGGTTTTTCAGGTCGCTGGATATTGATCTGATGTCAAAGTTGATAAATTCATAATGACAGAGCCAATATGGCGAATAATATAAAAGTAAAACTTCGACCATTTTTAATTTTGATATATTCGCCATATTGCTCCGTCATTTTGAATTTCTCAATTTTAAAATCAAATTAATATTCAGTGACCTGAAAAACTCAGTTTGAATAGCGAAGAATATTTCATAGATTCTTAATGATCGCAACTTTGATGCAATAGACTCTAAAAAAAAGTCCTAATAATATATTTAATTTTTATCACAATAAAATTTTTCAACACGTCACATATCGTTATAATATGCAAAAATACATTAAAACAGCTCTTTTTGCGATTTTAACTGCTGATGACTAAATTTCTCCAAGTTGTGACAGAGCAATTTGGCAAACGGCATCGTATCCAGAGTCCAAAAAGCTATAAGAAATGATGAATTTTTCTCGTTCTTGTGCTCGAAAATAAATAATTTTTTATCGAATAATGACATTATTGTGGAAGTAAATTTTGTTGTAAAAAGATGAAGAAAATACATAAGGAAAGAAAGAAATTTTTTTTGCAATATAGAGTGATATGTAAGTTAAGATATATTTTTTTATTGAAGAAGTATCTGAAGAATCTGATGATTCGTTGGGAGATCCATTATTGAGAGGAAAAGACGGCACTGGTTTAACAGTAGGAGATGTGATCGAACAAGCTCGCCAGCAAGCTCTAAAGGGTGCTCCTCTTGATGATAAACTAAGTAAAGTATTAATTTGCTGTGGTTGCTTAGGAGACAGGAGTGACGATATAAACGAGATTGTCGAATGCGATGGATGTGGAGTCAGTGTTCACGAAGGTGTATATTAATTTAAAATATTAGTGCACTTGTTTTTCAAGAGTTTCTACACACGTTTACGAGTAAAAATCAAATTTTAGGTTGTTACGGCGTATCTGACGTAGAAAGTTTCTCCAGCACTGATTCCTTATGCCAATCGGCACCATGGTTCTGCGAAGCTTGCAGCGCAGGAATTGAAGATCCATCGTGCGAGCTCTGTCCTAACAAGGGTGGAATTTTCAAAGAGACAGACGTCGGAAAATGGGTTCATCTAGTATGTGCTCTTTATGTACCCGGTGTTGCTTTCGGTGAAGTAAGTAAATCTCATACTGTGTGTAATAATTGCATATAATTTTATACATTTGTAATTTATAAATACTTATTAATTTTATGTATGTATTTTAGGTAGATCGTTTATCGAGCGTAACACTGTTCGAAATGGCGTATAGTAAGTGGGGCGCGAAAACATGTTCTTTATGTGAGGATTCGTGTTACGCGCGCACAGGCGTATGTATTGAATGTGATGCCGGGATGTGCCATACGTATTTTCACGTAACCTGGTAATACTTTTGTTGAGAATATATCGATATTATTATCTATCAGAGTTTGTGCTACAGGTATAAAATACGAGACATGATTTTTACAGTGCGCAAAGAGAGGGTTTACTGTCTGAAGCACACAGTGAGGAAGTCGATCAAGCTGATCCATTCTATGCACATTGCAAATTGCACTCCGATAAATCTCTCGTTCGTAGACGTAGACGTAATTGGCTAGCTTTACAAATGCGTGCGCAGTACCGGCAACAGATGTTGAAGCAACCTAATCACTTAGATACAGACGAGCAACGTAGGATTCAAAGGAAATTGGCCAAGCACAGACACAAATATTTAGCTCACAAGGCATCGCGTCCGCCACCATGGGGTGAATTGATGTTTTCATTCGAATATATATTCTTAGGCATTTAATATCTTTCTAAGTATATATTAATTGTAGTACCGACACAAAAAATGCCACGTTTATTAACTACATCTGCTTCCGCCTGCCGTCAATTGGCAAGAAAGGCTGAATTAATGGGCGTAGATACAGCTGCACTAGAAGCACAAGAATCTCAGCTGGTGGCATTAGTCGATGTTAGAAAAAAATGGCATATTGCTCCCGCTTTTAGTGTAGAATTTATCGGCTATTACTTGGATCGCAATTTACGCGTGACGTCAATGAAGAGGCGGTTGCAAGAACTTCTCGATATCAACTCGCAGTTATTGAACGAACAACAGAGATTGGATAGAAAGTACGACGAAGTGATGAAGGATAATGAAGAGCAGATTAGAGTAAACGTGACGTTGAAAGAAAAGATCGAGTTGTATCATCAAGTACTTAAAAGCGCTGGTTTCGTGAAGCCTTTGCCGTCGATTGGTGATCTAGTGAAGCCAAGAATAGCACCCACACTTGGTAAGTTGTGATACCTAGATTTTTTTAATACAATGAATACATGAAGCCTTTTCTACAGGTACAGGATTAGGCGTGCCTACCGCAGCCGCATTGAAAATGGGTGTCGGATTTCCACTCCCCGTGGGCAAAGGCGCCGAAGGTATACGCGAGGGTAGAGTGTTAAGTAGCCAGGCGCAAGAACAAAATCACAAAAGCGAGCTGACGACCTTACGGCATCAATGCGGCATCTGCAGACGCTCGACTAATCAACATCTTCTCGCTAAATGCGACACATGCCATTTGCACTATCATCTATCTTGTTTGAGTCCGCCTTTGGCGCGAATGCCGAAGAAAACAAGACAAATGGGATGGTATGTATGAACACATGAATACTGGACATTTCAATTATTTTGTTAAATTTTTGAATGTAATTTTGCAGGCAATGTTCTGAATGCGACAAAGAATCCTCGGGATCAGAAGTGGAACGTGTGGACACATCGGCACCACGTAAATTAAGACATTGTAAAGATGAGGCTAACTCAACACCTACACCGCCACAGGAAGTGCAAGTAGCTATGACACCAAGTACGCCTACTACATCAAAAAATTCCACCAGTAATGTAACAAACGTTACTACTCCCGATATACATACGACACCAAAAGTACTTGTTTTACAAATAAACGAAGATTTAACTTGACAGCGTTAATATGCATGTATGTACAAGCGAATATATTTTTACAGCTAACTATTAAACCAATGGGACCACAACCGTTAATCGTAGAACCGACGCAAGTATCTGAGTCGGTGTACAATCAACAATCTATTAATAATATCACCATAAGAGAAGGTTCACCAGAATATATGGTAGCTTCAGCAGATGGAACGGAAGTGGTCTCACAAAGAAGTGGGAAAAAAAGAAGAAGGTATGTACGAAATAGTCTGAAGAAATAATTTAGATATGTTTATTATATTTGTAAAAGTCAGTAGTAAATGATTTAATATTTTTTAGAGAAAAGCATAAGAGATATTCTCCGGATCCGATAACTGGAATCAAACAGAGAAAAAGAAAGCATAAACGAAAAAGTTTAGATATAGAAAATCCAGAGATTCAAAGCCAACCAGAGATTCATAGAAGGATTACAATAAAAGTACTTATTATTTTTCTATTTTATTTTATCGCTACATTGATTTGAATGTTATTAACGTCAATTAATCTAATACAGATAAAACCAATTCGTCGACCGGAGGGACATACAGATTCGGAATCGAGTCCGCAAATGTTTGTGGCCACTTCGAGCACTGAAATTACATTGCCACCGCCACCTGTGCCACCTCCGGCTGCAAACGTGCCCCCAGTAAATGTATCCGTGAATAGTAGTGGTCGACTGTCGACGGGAACGAAGAGAGGAAAAGATACGGACCTTATTACACAGTGTAACGTCTGTGATACTTCCGGCACCAACCAAAATCTCGTTATGTTAGTATTACCGATTACAACAAATGATAACTGAAATCTTAAAATTATAGACACTCCGAAATTGTAATTGAGAAATGTCGTTGTAATAAATCTTTTATGTTACGCATTTAATATCTGTTTCAGGTGTGACGAATGTAAGAAATGCTATCACTTTACATGCTTAGATCCTCCTGTGAAAAAGTCTCCGAAAAGGAGAGGCTATTCGTGGCACTGTGCCGACTGCGACCCTAGTGTAAGTTCATAAATTTTTACTGTCCATAGACAACAATATTTTTTAATATTAGATTGATGTACTTTCTATTTTGTCTAAGTATACATACAATTTTTAATAAATAGCGATACAATGTAAAAGAAACTATTTTTTTAGATAGTAATTTTTTTATCTTTTTCTATGCAGCATATAAGAGAACGAACATAAATCGGGATAATTGCACATACATCGATATCGAATTAATAAAGACAATAAGCTAAATCTGACAAAATATAAAGTACTTCAATCTGAAATGTACATGAGTAAATTGATTGAGCTGATTTCATAAGGTGAATCAAACTGAAAGGATAGATACATCGTCTTATAAGAATGCAAAAATTAATATTACAGGGGAATAGGAACAGAAAATTTTTTTGCCTAATGCAAATTAAATTATTATATTTATTTTTATTTTGTGATGTATGTACAGCAAACTAGAATAATGTCTTGAAGCATTCTGAACTCCTTTGTGTCTTCCGCGTAATATCGTCAATGTGGATATATATCATTGGCACATTAAATGTAATAAAAGAAAGAAATTTTTATAGTAAAAATATTTCTTTTATTTCAGGCCTCTGAAACTGAGACTTAATATCAACAATTTTCTATCTGCAGCTCCAATTCTACGTTTATATAAATAAGGCATTCAATGTTATTCTGTTTTTTTGTAAGACACGAAAACATAGAACAGACATACTTTTCTGTAATTTAAAGAAAAACGAATTCTATGAAAATCTACAAGTTCCACTTAAAACTGGTTTATTTGAATCTTAGCATAGTTCGCGCTACTTATTTCTCATTATTTCTTTTACTGATTTTTTCGTAATGCTTTGTAGTTTTATATAACAATTCTACGAAAAAGAGATATTGAAATTATATAGCTAGAAGAAAAGGAATATACAAAAGAATATTTTCGCATGAGACAAGAATGATACTATTTTAAATGCGAAATTAGAAAATCAGAAATGAAAAATTCATCGTATCAATTATTTTAAAAAGCATTTAAATATAATTAGTAATTTTTGATTCTTGCAACAGTCACTGCGTCAATATTACATTTTGTACATTCTAAGTTAAACTTACTATTGTAGTAAATAAAAATTTAATGTTCATTATCTACTTCTGAAAGAAATTGTCATAGGTTTACAAAAGAACAGCGTTGGAGTCAGAAGCAGCGCTGTAGATTATGTAATATTACTCTGAAATAATATGCCATCTTTCTTTCTGCCTAATATAAATCCATTTGCAAAGGCCTGTGCACTCATAACTGAACGTTTTTCCACAATCACTTTCGTTACTGAGATCCAACTTGGTCCTTTACATGTCACAATTAACTGTTTGCTTTTCCAATCAAATTTCGCAAAACCTGGAAGAGGCTTCACATTAATCACGCACATTTTATCTTCAAATATGCAATAATTACATTTTCAGATAATTAATTTTCTTCCTAGGAATAAACTGTTTTCAATCCTTGATACTAAACTTAGTATCACAGCGAATCATGCAGGAATAATGATTAATTACCTGGTACATCCGCATTTTTTACACCTGTCGACGATATCGACGTCTGCCGGACATCCAACAATTTTATACCCGTGCCATCAAACTTGGTTTTTAACGAATACGATCCTAGAAGAGCACGATGCAGATCATAAACATTCTTCGCCGTCATCTCGTCCCATTTCACTACAGCGATCTTTGATGTAATTTTAGGTGCTACAAAGTGTAACCATCGAGAAATATTAGTGAAATAATTTAAATACCAATGTATCTTGTTACTTAGCAGCAAAGACAAATTACCATACGTTATGCCTACTTTTCCCTGAGGTCTCGAGGAAGATAGTACTTGCGGCAATTTTCTAATCACGTCGATCAAAACATTTGCACCCAGCTTTGCTAACTTCATGTTCAATTCTGGTCGAGTTTCATCTGCATGAATATCTGTTTTTTCCTGTGCTACTATATCTCCAGTATCAAACCTGCAAGTAACATAGAGATAATGAAGAACTGTCGACCAGATAATATTAAGATTATAATATTCATCTTTCTTCCAATAAAACTTGGATGTAAATAACTGACATTTCTCTTTATCGATGTAAGAATTGAAAAAAAATATACAAAATATATGTATATTTAGAAAATCTTTTCTCTTAGGAAGAAATTTTATGTAAACTCATATATTCTTTGATACTTGATTTCTTAGACATATTTTAGAAAACCAATTTTAAAAAGGAGGCTTTACTTCTCTGCCACTTTCATAATTGTAATTCCCGTCTGAGTGTCTCCGTTCATTAAAGCATAAATATCTGGAGATGCTCCTCTCCATCGCGGCAATAGACTAAAATGAATATTTAACATACCGCTGTAATAAAAGATGGATATATTAATTGCGTGTCCCATGTTTACAGGCTGGATATGTTAAAGATAAATAAAGTGACCTACAATGGGAAGGAATTTATGATACTTAATGGTATCAGATGGCCGAAGCAAACAACTATCCCGATATGAAAACCCTGCGGGTTGGTTGCAAGAGGCCATTCGTTAATAACAAGTCCCTTCTCCTCCGCAAATTGTCGGACAAAATTCCTTTTTCTTGTAGGTACCGTTGCGACTTCTAATCGACAAAGTCTCTCAGCTTTGCTGTAGACAAAAATTGCATAAGCACATTTTACATTTACACATTTCTTCACTTCTGTGGTATATTTAATTACCTATATCAAACAAAATTTACAAATGATTTATCGACAAAAGTAATACTAACTACTCGTTGTACAAGCCTCGTAAGCTTTCCATGGAACATTCATCCTGGCCGAAAAACAACACACTCCAGGGACTACCGGCTTTAAATGAGTGCGATTGTCTCTTTCGAACGTGATGCACACCGCACGAAAAGGTTATCTCGCGTGACTTATCACTTCTCTTGAATGTCTCGTATAAGAACAGGTGTATTTTTGTTACACGTGTTAGAAATACAGCATTCAGCATATTGTTCTCACAGAAAAGATTTATTAACTATATGAAACGACGTGTAAAAACATTCGCATGATGCACATGGATCTAGTGCGTGTGCACATGTACTGTATGTGTATTGGACAGTATTGGACAAACAAATCCAATGCACACACTTCTGTTGTGAAAAATTATTTTCGTTAATTCTAATTATCTCACAAAAGTGACCCGTCAGAATTGCAACGTGGCAAAATGACACTTTCATCAGTTTTTCGCTCGCAAAAAATCCGTCCAAATATATATATATAATATACATACAATTACGATCGATATCAAAAGAAAGCGCGAGAAAACAAATGCAATGTAAAATAGACCATCAATGGAATTCCTTTTTTTTATTTCGTTCGACAGTATTTACGACATTATTTTAGAATTGCACATGTTGCAGATTACAATTAACTATAATTACGGAGAAAATTAAGAAACAATTGAACTATAGCCTGTTGTTCGTAATTGAACTTCTTTTCGTCTTTCCTCCTTTTTTTCGTTTAATTATACGCCTATATTCCATATTTTTAATGCAAATTAGCAATTAATTGTGTCAAATGCAAATTAGGGACAGTTGTGAAGAACATACTCGAGAAATCTATATATAGCTACAGCCTTAGGTTTGTTCCTTGTAACTGAGCACCTGTTAAACATCTTCTCTTTCTGTCTACCCGATATCGTTATACATCTATCTCAGTTTAAGCGCAGCCACGAGGAACGTGTCCCGCACTGCAGAAGTGTAGATGACCATCATGTGCGCCGTGCGCGCCAAGTCATTGGCCAAAGTTACGTTCCTATTTCATCGAAGAATTTCTCCTTAATTTCAACGATTACGAGGAAAGTTGTCTGTTATATTCTTTGTCCATTGAAATATTTGCGCCATATATCGTTGCCCCAATTTCTCGAATAGATCTCGTCTATAATTAGTTCAACACTCGAGTCGATACACTTGTTAACGCTACAAATGCTTTGAAGCGTACGATTAATCAATTAAGACAAAGAAATTTATGCTTTGAAACATTTATAGCGCCAAGTGGACTTCAGCTTCGATCCCTTTGTTCGCAACAATTACTTTGTATTTGCACCGTTTAAAGAGATAGTATCAAGAGATAGATAATTAGATTTGTCTTTCACGTTTGCTCGACCAATAACTCGCCGGCCTGCACCGCGCCCGCGCACACGCGCGCAGTCGATGCCTCACTTTCGTATTTCGAATCCGTCATATATACGGGCACGTAGCTCTCGGAGATAATTTTCAAATCTGACGATAGAAATAAATGTTTATTTCTTAATAAATGTCTTATTTCGCGAGTGACGAAGATCTGAGGAACGAGACGCAGCGGTGAGAGGACCGTGTACCAGAATTATCCGTGTACCAGAGGAACTTCGTCTGGAGGATTGTGCCATTTGTCGTCATTGCTACGAACATACATATGTGAATGTAAACAGTGTGCGATCTGTTCACAGTATCCCCACCTTTTTAGGTCTTAATATAATATTTGGCAGCCAAGTACCGGTCCTTTTTGTCCTTTCCTGTCTCGTGAATTTTCCGCAACGATAACGACTGATTGCAACTTTCATTTCTTGTTATACAAATATTATTGAGACGAATTAGCAATCATGAAGCAACTAGAAGTTTTAAATGGATATTATACTAATCTAGATTACGATATCGACAAAGAAGTGAGTACATTTGATATGCACAGATTATAACATTACGTCAGAGAGAGTGTTGTGGATAAGTTATGAAATTTAATACGAATATTAGAAAGAGCCTACTGAGTCTGTTTTTTTTTTTTATGTAACGCTGTTTCTTGGGTGTATTTTTAGAAAGCACTGGAAAAAATATGTAATCTATCTAAGACAGTAAGGTTTGATGAAAGCGTTTTTTTTGTAGAGAGGTAAAAATAATGATATAATTTTAAGATGGAATAATAAAAGACATTAGAAGTCCCTTTTTATCTTTGTTATTTTTAATATTCTCTCTTTTGCATTTATAGACTGGAGGCACTGGCGAATATAATACAAGATAATATATCGTTTTTTAAATCTGTTTGTAGACACGTAGATACAATTGATACCATTTTAGAGCATTTAACTAATGCTGGAGACTCGATGTCTCAAGGTACGGTACTATTCTTGCAATTGTAGTTATACAAATATTATGTTATTTGCGTCTTTGTTTTGTTATAAGTAATAAGAACAAATGCCAATGAACGTATTAAATTGTTACTTATATGGAAGTCTTATATATTCTTATATACTTTTATTTTGTTTTCTAGAAATGTCCGAAACTGATAGTATAATGATCTTTAACAGAATGTTATATACGGTTCTCAATATATGTGGCCTATCTGCAATACGATTATTTTTCATACGTACTCTCCTGTAACTATGCATGCATATATATAAAAAAGAACGTTTGATTATTAATATATTTACTGTCATACTTACTAATTCGGAAAACGTTCATTATTAAAAAATAATGTTTTATAAACTTCTAATATTAGACATATATTATTTCTGTATTCTAGCAATGATGTCTTACCTCACAAAGACAGTTATAAACAAATATCATATTGGCAAATTTCAGATTGTATAGGTAACAAAAATATTTGTTCATATTGTAATCTGTGCTGTGCCGTTCACAAAAATGAGTTTTTACTTTACAATTAAGAACTTTCGTACAAGTACTCATGCAGAACATATTTTATATACAGTGACACAAATGATAATTCTAGAGGATTCAGATTTGTACGCAGTTATTAGTTATTTAATAATAACAGACAAATTCCCTTTACATAAAATATGGGTGCAAAAACAAGTGAAAGGAAAGTTTGAATGGCTTATGAAGAGACATTACTCTGACATTACGGCTTATAAAAAGATATTACTCATTATTGATACATTTCAATCATTCAAAGATATTCAACTCCATGAATGTGCGACTGACATAAATATAGTATCTATATGGTCCGAAGATATTATAGCTGCGAAGAATTTAGCGTTGTCTTTAAATGTACATTATTTAAATTATATAACATAATATATCGGGAAGAATTATTTTAAGCCTTATTAAAATGATTTATCTGTTTCTTAATCATTTAGTGTCACGTAATATTCATAAATACACATATGGAATTCTCTGGTGGCCTTATAACTTTTCCTCATAAGGAAATAAATGAGCAAAAAGTAAGTCAACAAACCTTGAATAAGATTCGCGAACTGAAATCGGACTCAAGTGATCCAGAACAAAGTGTGAATGTAGTACATTTCTCACATACTGCTGAAATGAACTTTACTTCAATTTATAATCTGTTTTACGACGGTGCATGGCAAAAACCGGTAAAAGGCATGTATTGGAAGCATAATGACAACCTGTGGGCAAATGCAACAAAGTAAACACACGTTTTCTTCATCTTATTAACTGCAATAATAATTGTTGTATTTGAAAAATTGAACAATTGAACACATTGAACTTTTAATCAATTAATGTATTGTTATTATAGCGACGACATTATAAGATGCTATGAGTCAGCTGAGAAAGGATTTAAAACTTGGAGTATTAAGCCCATTAAGACTAGAATACAAATATTATCAAAACTAGAGTCCATATTAAAATTTAATAAGTATATTATCAAATGTTACCAAAAATTCTTATATGTTTTTGTATAATATCTTATCTATATTTACTTATTGTTGATAACTTTTTAATAATTATCTTTTTTTTTTAGCAAACTTGTATTGGCAGCTATAGTAGCAAAATGGTTAAAAATCTCATACTTATTTGAGACTGTGAAGGGATATTCTACAGTTAGTCGAAATGGAATGATAGAAGCAATGCATGTTCGTAAGCCAGTAGGTGTTATTATACTTAGGGAGGAAAATGAAAATGTTTTGTTTTTCCGATTAATGCAAACTTTAATTGCTGGCAACTCTGTCATTGTCATATTTGATGCAAATTTCTGTAATTTGACATCATATTGTGATATGTTCTCATCATGTGGAATACCTCCAGGAGTTATAAATTTGTTGTCACATGAAGATATAAATATGCTGGAGTATAAATTATGCTCAGCAAAGTATACTGATTATGCGGAGAAGATTTTCTTGAAAGGCAACTCAAACGAAACATATATTACATCATATAAAAACCTTACTACATGCCAGTATATTATGCTCCATTTTAAATAATTTTGATGTTAGTTTTACATGTTAGTTTTATATGTATGTACATGAAGTATATCATCTGGATATACTTCAATATTGTGATTTTAAGAGAAAATTTATGTCGTTCAAGCAACTGTTGAAGATAGAACTGATGGTTATGGGATAATTATATTACGCTTTGTAGGTAAGGGCCATAAAAATTGTCGCAGATTATGTTTTTATTCGTATATTTTTATTTGTATATATACAAAATTGTAAAATTTAGTAGCAATATTTTTATGAAAGTACTTAACCCTTCGCAGAACAAATGGAGCTTTCAGACTCACTCGATATTTCCATTTCGAATTTTACGGAGATTTTACGGACTCATAAAAAAAACCCAAATAAGAATCAAACATATATAACGGTATAAATAGATTCTTAAAGCCTTTGAGAGTATACCTGAATTTTTTCAGATTTTTTATGGCATCATTACAACTTGAAAATCTTAACTGGCCTAAAAGACCCACTTGTTCGACGAAAGCAGGAGAATTACACATATTCTGCGAACATGTTAATACTTTCAGTTACACGACTACTAATGTTTCTAAAATAATATGCAGCATTTTTTGTAATTATCGATTTTCAGCAATAAAAAAAGAAAGATATGTTTTGTTTCTTTTCGCATTTCGAAAACTTCATGTATGATCTGATACAGATATGTAGCAGTATAAAAGTATCTGTTTAGCTAAATAGTTAGAAGTGAATGGTGTATAAACAAATAATACATATTAATCTTCTTTCTAATATTCTTTATTACGTAATTTGTTTTAGACAATTTAGACTTTATTTCGCATCTGTATGCAACGAATTAATCTTTGTTAATTATGGAATCAGCATTCTTTTTCGTACAAATATTTTTTATTATGTTTTTTGCTTCTTTAGTATATCTAATATTAATATTATGACTTGATTTAAATGCGTTATAATGTAATTCAGATGATATTTTTTTAGTCTATTATCTTAAAATATCACTGTTTTTGTTAACCTTCATTCCTCAGCACTCATATCATTTAAAAATTGGATTGAGTTTTGAAATTGATTTCCCAAAAGCGATTATCAATCTTTCTTCTTCATGTTTATTGAATTCATAATTAACAAGTCATTAATAATTTATGTTAACAAGAATTAATTTAGTTAGAACTCACAATAATCCCAAAGGTGTGATTATCCTAAAGTCAATGGAAGATTAAAAAGAATGCATGCATTTAAAAGAGATCATAACATGAATAAAATTAAACCCGAGCCCAATGATGTATAATCAGTTCTTCCTGTTTGCTCGACCAATAACACGGCGTCCTTCATGCTCGTACAGTCGATTCCTTACTTTCGTGTTTAGAACCGCGTCGTACCGGCACGTAGTTTTTGGCGATAATAAATTTCAGGTCTGACGAAGGAAATCAAGGTTTGTTTTATATAATAAATGTTTTATTTCACGATCTGAGGAACGAGACGCAGCGGCGAGAGGATTGTGTACCAGAATTACTCCTCGAGAAATTTCATCTGGAGAATGCCAACGTTTTTATTGCTGCGAACGTACATATAAATGTAAACAATGTGCGATTTGTTCACGGCATCCCCACTTCTTAGGTTTTAATCTGTTATTTGCCAGCAGCGAAATACCGATCCTATCTGTCCTTTCCTGTCTCGTGAATTTTCCGCAACGATAACGACTAATAACAACTTCTATATCTTGTTACAAATATTGATTTGGATTAACAATCATGGAGCAACTAGAAGTATTAAATAAATATTATACTAATCTAGATTACGATAAGAACGACAAAGAAGTGAGTACATTGAGATGCACACAAAGTATAATATAATGCATTACGTGGATAACTTGCAAAACTTATTGTTAGACTAATATTAGGAAGAGCCTTAATCTGGTTTGTTTTTCTTTTTTTATGTGCAACGCTGCTTCTTGTGTGCATTTTTAGACAGCACTGAAAGAAATACATGAGTTATCCGAGAAAAGATTTAATACTGACATCTCTATTTCAACCAGGTAAATAACGATAATTTTAAAATAGAATAATAAGAGTCGTGGAAGTTGCTCTCTATTTTTGTTATTTTTAATATCCCCTCTTTCGCATCTATAGGCTGGGCGTACTGGCAAATTTAATACAAGAGAACATATCGCCTTTTAAATCTGTTTGTAGACACGTAGATGTGATTGATACTATTGTAGGGTATTTAAAATTTTATGAACAAGAGATGAAGTATGTCAGCGGTACAGTACAATATTATATTTTTATAAGTGTAATTGTGTATATCAATATTATTATTTGCATTTTTATTTTTTTATAAGTAACAATAATGGGTAGCAGTGAACGCATTAAGTTGTTATATATGAAAATCTTATATTACGTTTTTATTTTGTATCCTAGGTGATATGTTGAAGGATACTCTTAGGATTATCTTTCCATTATTGGTTACACTCTTCAATATATGTGATGAATCTGCAATACAATCATTTTTGCTATATCCTATCTTGTAACTATATATATATATTATATAAATTTTACTTATTAATATACTTATTTTCATATTTATTAATTCAGAAGTTCTTACGTTAAAAATTAATGTTTTAAATACTTTTTATAATATTAGTTATATATTTTCTGTATTCTAGCACAGATTCCTCAATAGACTTTGATAAAGCCTGTAAAAAGATAAAATACTGGCAAAGTTCAGTTGGGATAGGTAACAAAACTATTTGTTTATAGTGTTTATATTGTAACGTGTGCTGTTCATAAAAACGTATTTTTACTTTATAATTAAGAACTTTGATACAAGTACCCATGCAGAGCATACTTTTACAGAGAGAGAAATAATAGTTCTAGAGGATTCAGACATGTATGCGGTTATTAACTGTTTAATAATAACAGATAAATGTCTTTTACATAAGATATGGGTGCAGAAACAAGTGAAAGAAAAATTTGTATGGCTTATGAAGAGACATTATTCAGACATTACGGCTTATGAAGAGATGTTACTCATTATTGATACATTTCAATCATTCAAAGATATTCAACTCCATGAATGTGCGACTAATATAATAAATATAGTATCTATATGGTCCGAAGATATTGTAGCTGCGAAGAATTTAGCGCTGTCTTTAAATGTACATTATTTAAATTGGATAACACAATATATCGGGAAGAATTATCTTAAGCTTTATTAAAATGATTTATCTGTTTCTTAATCATTTAGTGTCACGCAGTATTCATAAATACACATATGGATTTCTCTGATGGTTGTCACACATTTCTCCCTTACAAAGAAATAGTTGACTATGTAAAGAGTCAACGAACCTTGAATGAGATTCGCGAGAAGGAATCAGTTTCATCTGAGACAGAACAAAGTGTAAATGTAGTACATCTCTCACATATCGCGGACATAAACTTTACTTCAATTTTTAATCTGTTTTACGATGGTACGTGGCAAGAGCCTGTAAAGGGCCTGTATTGGAAGCATAATGACAACTTGTGGGCAAATGCAACAAAGTACGAAAGCATACGTTTTCTTGATCTTATTAACTGCAATAATTCTTGTATTTTTGAGAAATTGAACAAAGTTACATTGATTTAACCAATTAATGTGTTGTTATTATAGCCATGATATTATAAGATGCTATGAGTCAGCTGAGAAGGGATTCAAAACTTGGAGTATTAAGCCCATTAAGACTAGAATACAAATATTATCAAAACTAGAGTCCATATTAAAATTTAATAAGTATATTATCAAATGTTACCAAAAATTTTTATATGTTTTTGTATATCTTACTTATGTTTTCTCGATAACCATTTAATCATTATCTTTTCGTTTTTCTTTTTTAGTAAATTTGCATTGGCAGCTATAGTGACAAGATGGTTAAAATTCTTATATTTATGTCCCATGAACGGATATGTATATCAAAATGGAAAGGCAGAGATGACGGACGTTCGTAAGCCATTAGGTGTTATCATTCTTAGGGAGGAAAAAGAAAGCGTCTTATTATTTCGATTAATGCAAACTTTAATTGCTGGCAATTCTGTCATTGTGATGTTTGATGCAAATTTTTGTAATCTGACACCATATTGTGATATGTTCTCAACATGTGGAATACCTCCAGGCGTTATAAATTTGTTGTCACATGAAGACGCAAATATGCTTGAACATAAATTATGCTCAGAAAAGTACACAGACTATGCAGATAGGTATTTTCTAAAAGGCACCTCTAAAGATGCATATGTTGGACCATATCTCAACCTTACTACAACCAAGTACATTATAGTTCGTCTTAAATAATTTTGATGATGTAGCCAGGGTTTGTTTTAAATGTATGTACACAAATATAATCATCTTGATATACTTCAGTATTGTGATTTTAGAAGAAAATTTATGTCGTTTAATCAACTGTTAAAAATAGAACTGATGGTTAGATAATTGTGTTATGTTTTGTAGATAGAGGCTATAAATATTCACGCAGGTTTTGTTTTTATTCGTATAGTTTCATTTGTATATATATATATAGAAAATTGTAAAATTTAATAGCAATATTATTATGAAAATACTTAATACTTTCAGTTGTAGACTATTATGTTTCTAAAATAATATACAGCATTTTCAGTACGTATCGATTTTCAGCAATAAAAAAAATATTTTGTTTTTTTTCTCTTTTCGGAAACTTTATGTATGATCACATACAGATGTAGTAAAATATAAAAGTATCTATTTATTGAAATAGTTAGAAGTGAATAATGTATAAACAAATAAATGCACATATTAATCTGCTTTCTAATATTCTTTATTATTCGTATATTCGTTTCAGAGTTTACTTCGCATCTGTATGTAACAAATTATCATCATTGTTAATTATACGAATTAGCATTCTTTCGTATAAATATTTTTTGTGATATTCTTTGTTTTTTTTAGTGTAATTACTATTATAACTTAATATAAATGCGTTATAATATAATTCAGATGATATCTTTTTAGTCTATTATTATCTTAAAATATCGCTGATAAAAATTGAATCACCCAGATAATTAGAAAAAAAACGTATGTTAATAAATAAAGAACATTAAGACATTTTCTTTTCTGAAAGTCAGGGTGAAACGAATAGCGGACCAATTAATTAATCTGCAAACTATATTATCACCAAATAAATATTAAGCTGTACAATTGTTTTATCAATCCTCAACAAATCATCTCATTTATAAACTAGATTGA